AAAATTATAAAACACAATTTATTTCGTTAACATTTTATAAAGAACTTTAAAAGATATGTATTTTTTTAACAATATAAAATAAGAAGTATTACTTTTTCTACAAACAAAATATATCTCGAAAATAATGTATCATATTCATTTAAGAAATATTGTATTCTAGAATATTTAATTTGCATACAACTTAATAAAAAAATCAAAAAAATTAAATGTTTTTTTAAATCATAGCAATGAAAAATAAAAATCATTTATAATAATTTGAAATAGGTTTTTTATTTTTATTTTAATTAAGTCATCAAAATAATATGTCATCCACATCACCTCATTAAAGTCACACAAGCAAAAAAAAAAAGTCAAGGGGTTAATCGGTTTAAAAGGTAACAGGTCACCTATTGTTATAAATATAATGGATAGAATTTTTAAAGTGCGATGTCTTAATAAAAAATAATTTGAAAATACATTACTATAATAAAAAAAAATAGAATGCTATAATAAAAAAATTTATGAAACTAATTGTTATTTCATGCATTTATTTTTAAGATGGTCAATGATTATCCTATAATCACGTATATTTATTTTAAACATCTGAGTTGACATTCTAATTTTTACTATAATCGTGAGTCCCCATCGTTCTTTGTTGGCATTATCATTGTTTCTTCATCATTTAATAAACTGACTACAACATTACATGAAGGAGACACGTATATAGGGAATGAAAGTTCCACCACTTTTCGCGAACACCCGTTGACTCACTTGATCAGTAGGTCAACGGTGTATTAGAAGTCTGATCTGACTCCACTACAACACTTCAGAATTCTCTAATCTAATGAAGGGCCTTTTTGGAGGTAAATATGTTAAAAGAGTCCCACATCGTCTAATCTTTTTGTTGGAAGGGTTGTTAGAGTTTCACATCAGCTAAACTTAGACATTTTCTTTACAATACATGTTCGAATATATTTCCATATATTCTTTTTTTGAAGTATGTTCCATATATTTTCACGCAGTCTGGCAACTTGATTGGAAATAGACGAAACACATGATCCAGCGACAAACAAAGCAAAATCAAGAGTAAACCAACAATCAATCGTTTAGTTTTTGATGAATGGTAATGAATTTTAGGGGATCGGTCGCTTCAAATGAGTACGCCACTCGTCGATGAATGCAAGTTTATCTCGATCCACGTCTGGTAGTTCACACCCTTCAAGATTTGTTACTATCTCAGTGCTCCTACCAAGAAGTTTGGTCGCGGCCTCAACACTCGCCACTCGTTTCTCTATCACACCTTCATCGCATTTTGTTGCTACGACTCGTGGTATGTTAGTGAAGCACGCAGAGAAAATATCAGAAATCATGCAAGATAATAACTCAAATACCTGCTCTTCGCTAATCGATTCGATGTTGTTTTGGTGGGTAAGCAAGATCGTTTGTGCAATACGATACATCGAATTAGCAGCGATCAAATTGCTAGGAAAACTCTCCTTTAGTTCCTCGTTGGTATTTCCCTTCATTTCTATTACAACTTCTCCAGCTTTATCAGCAAACCATTGAAGAATCTCCATTGACGTCTTTCCTTTATAAGCATTTTTCTGTAGAGTGTTCCCCAACCACTTGTAGTTGTCTTCAACCTCATGCCATAAGTTTCTTGTTGTCCTTTGAACATTCGCATATTCACTTCCACCATTGAGGCTTTCTTCCACAAGATGGGTGTACGAGAGACCGTCACCAACACCTTTCAACAAGCTCTCAACTTTTCCCTTACGAATGTTCGGGAGAGAAACAGCAATACACGTTAAGGTTACTATCGGTAAGCTCCAACTATTAACAGGTTCAACAGAGAGGAGAGGTTGAACCAGATCGATGTCAAACTCCTCTACTCCCTCGAAACCAGTTGATTTACCAAGAAGCTCTAAAAGATCATTGTGTTGTTCCTTGTTAACTTTCTGAATCAAGCGATTCATGGAATTCAAAATGCCCTTCACTGTCATCTCTGCGAACTCCATCTCATCTTCAATCTGCAAAACATAATTGCTAAGGTCTTTTATATCATCACTACCCGAGGCGATGGGTGTAATGAAAATCAATGCCTTCAACGACCGCCAACAATATGACCAACATATAACAAAGATTATAAGGACTATCCGGACGAGCCCTATCATTTTGCATGATACTATGACTACTTTCTGAAATATGATACAAATGCTTAGAATGTGGTTTTTCAAGCTATGGACAAAGGCTCTTGATCTACGGCCATTCCATAGAAAAGGTAAACGGTTTTCTTTCCACTCGTACAGCATTTTGGTCCAATACTTCTCTACTTTAAAGACTAGGAAATGGTCCCAAGTGAACAATTTGAACCTAAAGACCGTAAAACATCTAAATATTGGAGCTATGCTACCCACTACAACTCCAATGAACTGAGTGACGAAAATGGCAACCATTGACCACTTGTACTCTGATCGGAACCCAGCTTGGTACTCCGATTGGTACTTTGTTTGGTAAAGGTACTTCGATTTGTACTCGTTGGAAGGAATACCAAAAATATCCAACACACGAAATATGTACGTTATTAGGCTGATTATGCATATTATGCCTGAAGCATTGGATAACGAATTACTAGACATCACAAACTGAGGGTTCCCACTTTCTGCCATAACCCAATATCTTCTCACATATTGTCTTAGTTTCTCCACCATAGACATCCCTGTAAATTGATCATTTGAAGTTGTTTTGCTTGTGGCTTGATACTTGAACTCTAAAATTTTCTTAGAGGTTGGAATTGTTATGGCCGACGAAATCAATATGATTAGTAACGAAAGCATCAAAACCATATAGATGCATGCCCACATCATGAAATACCCATTTGCTATAACACCGGTAATAATTTGGATCAAAGTATTCACAATCATAGTGATAATGAGAATGACCAAACCTATGGTATTTGCAAGAAGTGTCTTGTTGTCCATAGACGCCAGAGAAAGCATTAAGTTAGCAATCATGATGCACATGAAGGCCAAGCTTCCGAGCTTGGCTGCTTGGTCTACTTCACCAGGCATCGAACTACTGAGATCGACAGGCAATTTCATGGCAACAGCTACGACAGTGATAGAAGCAGCATTGAGAGAGAAATACTTACAAGGAATCCAATATTTTCTATTCCGGAAACCATGGAACAAATCTGCCGCCATGGCAAGGATGCAAAAGCCGGATGCTATTGCTATGTAGATTCCAATCCACACCATAGGCCTGCTATATATGTCGTATACTTCCATAAGCTCTTCCACTATGAAACACGAAACAAAGCTGGACATGTCATCTTTGGTGATGTTTACAGTATATCGTTCTTGTTCTCGAATAGAAGAGGATTCATCGTACAACTTGTGCACAACCTTGAAACAATCATTAGAGTAATGATCATATGCACTCATGATGACAACGTTTTTAGCCAAGTAACTTGAAGCTATTGATTTACAAAACAAAATATTGATATCTGTTTATAACAAGCGTTTGAAAGATATTTGCATATATGGAAACATTCAATAAGTGTAATTCATTATGGCCATGGAATCATTTTGACAATTAAAAGAGACATAAAACAAGAGGGGGGATGGTCCCAACTTTATTGGGTTGAAAATTAGGCCACACAACAGTCAACGGTCTTAATTGGTGTTCTTAAATTTTATAGGGGTTAGATCGGGGGAGAACTTATAAAAGAACCGGAGAATTAAAAAAACAGATGAAAAAATATATTATTTAAAAGTCGAATTAAAGATGATAAAGTTATCATTTCTTGGTATCATTTGTTTTGATCCAATTTTCATTATATTTTGCTGATCTTTCATTTGTTAAGTTCCAAAAACTGACCACAAACCACCCCTCGTCTCATTCTTGCATCATATCCCAACCTAAACGAAACAAAATACTGAAACCCCGGTAAAAACGTCTTTTCGGGCAGAAATCGAGCTTAAATATACAACAAACACATGTTTGTTCCATGATGGGAATCTATAAAAAAATATTACAAAAATAAGCTCTTGATTTCCAGATTAAGCCATAACTGAACAATCATTTATGGCTGAGCGAACCATATTGGGCTATATAGCCCAATAAGCCACAACCGAATAGCCCCTCATTTGATGAAGATTAAGAATTCAAGATTTGCTGCAAATGAAGTTATCAATCTTTTAGCTCTCTTTTTTATGCTTCGAAGCTTCCATTGGGCAAACAGAAACAAAAAAAAAAGGAATTGACACTGACGAGTCACGAGTGGGCAGCCGGCAGTGGCAACGAGCGAGGCGGAGGGGAAGGGGAGGGCCGAGGGCGACTTGCAAATGGCCAATGACTCGACGAGTGAAGTGAGACTGAGAATGTGAGATCTGACCTGAGTGACCTCGATCGGCAGAGGGCTGAAGGCCTGATGTCCAACAGCAACAAGGCCCAGAATTTCCAAAGCTGAAAGCTCAAATAGTATAAATGAATAATTGAATATTAGTATACAGCGTCCGGGGCGGCATGGGGTTACAATACCCGGCCCCGGCCCCAACCCCGCTTTGAGTCTACAGGGGATCCCGCCCCGGGACTCGTTTTAGCGGGGAATCTCCATCCCATTCAGGTCGGGTGAGTCGGGTTCCCCACCGATCCCTCTCGAACTAGCTAAGAGTTGCCAAAAAGTCCTTAGCACTTAAATCGCATCTTCTTGCCCTTCACCATCTCCAGTACTCCCATGGTATGTGAATCTGGTTGGACCCCCTCCGCTACCATCTTACAATGAAGTGTTTTAGCCTTTTCCACAAAACCGTCATAGCAATAGCCACTTATTAGAGACGTGTATGCTATAGTATCTGGTTGAAGACCTCTATCAATCATTTCCTTGAAGAGACAAATGGCAGCTTTGAGGTTATTTGATTTACAGTAATAGTCAATCAGAACAGTGTAGCAAATAACATCAGGAACGAACTCTTGCAGTTTGGTTAAATATCTTGACAAACCCATTTCTTCTCTCCCACTCTCTCCCCTAGTCGAACTTTTTCGTTTCACTTTAGATTCCCCGTCGAACAATACTGTGTAAGTGACAACATCAGGTTGTATACCACGATTTATCATATCATTGAAAAAATAATTGGCTTCTGTTAAGCAACTCGCCCGGAAATAGCCATATATCATAATCGTGTAGTTAATAACATCAGGCATTAATCCTCTTGCGATCATCATATCGAAAACCCATCTGGCCATCCTTATATCTCCAGCCTGACAATATGCAGATTGAAGTTTACTATACATAATCTTAGAAGGACCATTATCTGATGCCAATATTGTTTTAAATAGCATCAGAGCTTTATCGGTTTCACCTTCTTCACAAAGGCAACTAAGAAGTTTCGAACAACAAGAAGCTTTTGCAGATAAAAGCCTTTCCTTTCCTTCTTTGGACAACTTAAGAAAAAGTTCATACGCTTCTTTTACGTTCTTTGTGTAACAGTATCCGTTCATCATAGCAGCATAATTACTCGAGCTTTTTCTTTCAAGAAAATTAAAAAATGCTTCGGCTTCCTTCGCTTTTCCACCCTTGCATAATCCCTCAATGACAATGTCATATGTAGCACTTGTGGGTTCTAAACCTAATGCTAGCATATTATCTAAAAGAATGTTTGTCTCCTCAAAAAGGCCACATTTTGAGAACCCGCCAACAAGCACATTGAAAGTAATGGTATCAGGTTTCACGCCCTTCTCATTCATCTCATTGAAGATATTCAAAGCACTTTGAAGGTCTTTTTGGAGACAATATCCATTAATCAAAGTGGTGTAGAGCTTAACATCTGGGTTCATATTCCTACGTTTCATCTCTTCCAGCAACATCATCGCTTCACCCATTTTCCCTAGTTTACATAGAGCATCAATTGCAATACTGAAGGAGATTTCATCAAGAAAAACTCCAGATTCTATTGCATTAGTGAATTGGTATACAGCTTCAGATGACATCCCCATATGACACAAGCATTGCATAATTGAGCTCATAATCACACAATTGGTGTTGATACCCTTTGAACACATTTCATCATGAAGATCCAAGGCCTTAAGAATGTCGCCTCTCTGACAGTACCCTTGGACTAAGGCGCCGTAACAATATGCGTCTGGGACAATTGCTGCTTGTTTCATGTTAAAAAAGACGTTTTCTGCATCCTGTAACTTCAACTCTTTTACAAAGCCACGAATGACAGAAGCATAAGCAAAAACATCAATGAGTGAGCCCGGCTCTTTCAACATTTTAAGCAACTCAAAAGCCGAGTCTGTGTAGCCATTTGAGCAAAGCCCATCAATATAGGAACCAAAAGTGAACATATTAGGCTCYGCTCCAGCTTCCTTCATTGATTCTAAAACATCCCCAGCTTCTTTCACACAACCTGTCCTACATAGTCCTTTAACCACAATCCCATATGTGTACACATTTGGAAGGAAACCTTTCATCTTCAAATGTTGATAAACCATCATGGCCATGTCAACTTTGCCTTCTTCAACCAACCGGTTCAGAAAAAGATTACAAGTAAGCACAGACAGAAGAAATCCACCCTGTATCTTCAATAACACATCATAAGCCTCATCAAACTGATGAACACTAATGAAAGCCTTAACCAGAACATCAACTGCTCTAACAAGCAAATTATTGCCATCCACATTGATCTCTTTCAATAATTCTTCGAACAAATCAAAAACTTCAAAACCAAATACTCCATTTTTATTCTCAATGACCTCCAAAAACAAAACCTTTAACTTCCTCATCATACCCCGGTAACACAAAAACCTTATAATAGCCATATAAGTTACAACATCATGCATAAATCCACATTCTTTCAAATGGGTAATTAGAAACAACGCAGTCTTGGGTTTTCTTTCCAAGTGTTGTAAGGTTTCAATAAGTGTATATCTATCAAACACTTGGTGGGCATGTTCGATTGAATTAGTACTATGGTTTTGTTGGGGAATTGGGCAGTTTTCGTCTGAACTAGAATCCGAGACGTCGGAGAAAGTTAACTGGGAAAGTGACGAAACTGAACTAAATCGGATAATAAGGTCGTGTTTGCGCAAATTACGGCGAGAAACTGACCTGATTAAAGGAACCCACATGGAAGTAAAACGAAGATGGAATTTGCTCTGGACGCTATACAGTTCATAACAAGAAATTKCCTCTGGAATTAATTGGTTGGGATTAAGGAGACGCCGTTTCAGAAAAGCTGTAGTCTTCGTTGTGGTTTCCGGCAGCGGTTGAAGGTTTGGCGGAGCAACGGCAGGGTTTAAACGAATGAAGTTGTATTCTTGAATCAAGATGCATGATGTCTATTGAAAACCCCTCAACTATATAAAATGACAAAATGCTATCTAAACTATTTGTCAGCTTACATTTTAGGTCATTCACAGAAAAGTAGCACTAATGGTTTCTATTGCACTTTCTGGTTTGCCCTCGAACACCAACTCACGTTAACAAATGAACGTCTTCTATCAGAAAAATTAACAAAAAGCATTTTAATCAATGTTTTAAAAAGCGTTTAACTTCAGGGCGGTTTACTTTAACAGGTCATTTGTTTTACTGGATGGAAAATCTTAAGAACGGTTAGCCCTTATTAGTTAATTGTTGCATACGATACTGTGGACTACAATCTTACCAAGTAAAGTAACTTAGAGTATTGACTTTTAACGGTAAGTGCTTATCGGGTAAGCATTTGGGGGTTATGAAAACACCATTAGTGTATAATGTAACTAAAATCAAGGTTCTAAATGGCATGAGACATCACATGGCACTGAGGCCAAGCCTCAAGCCTTAGGACCCATAATGAAGCCATGGTGTTTTTCAAGACGTGACATATGACGCCAAATCCTTATATCATATATCATATTATTTATATGTATATGATATAAACATATGATTTCCCTACTACCCAATGAGTTGATGATTATAAACAATTTAAATTACGTTATACATTAAAAACTATCAAATAAGACACTAAATAGGTAAGAGAGAATCAAATACTGCGTTAAAAAAAAAAACTACGCATTACAGGCTTAACATGGCATGATACACAAGCTAAGCCATGACATGCCATAAGCCATTGCGGCAAGCCTTTTAGAATAGTGACTAAAACTTGGTGTTGGTATGCAAACAAGACAGGACGGAACTGGCCTGGCGAGAGTGAGCTAGGCGGATGAAAGAATGGTAGAAGTTTCAATTTGACATTGTTAGTTTAGTAATTCATATATATCTTGTCCTCGTCTCCCTAAGTTTTGTTCCGAACAAAAAAATGCATCTTTATCCCACTCAATTAGTCTCCGTCTCCACAGTAGGATGACAACAGGTTTTTGGTCTTTCATATCCTTGCACGTGCCATACTCCATCATGGAAATTTATTGCAAGTTTGGTACACATAATTAAAGCACAAATATCTTAAAAGAACATTCAACTCATTTTGATCTAAAATATCTTATACCATTCATTCTGCAATTACTTTCCTACCTTTACTGCACATCAT